ACCAGTGAATGAGCACAAATTCGACATCAGCTTTGCATTTTGTAGAACACCGATGGGTTAAACTTTTCAAAAGCATTCAAGATCATTAAATTTATTGCAGGGATTCTGGGAATCAACAAAAACTGCATCTTGGGCCAGGGAACGTTTTGGTTTAGGTAGGGTAGCATGACTAGGACCGAGGATACGATAGATTGTCTGGGAATCCAGAGCTCAATTAGGGCAGAAGTTGCGGGTAGGACTGATTGATTAGCCCGGGGATTCGCTTCAGATTAGCGATTCAAACTCGAGTCAGATCTTGTGAATTTTGAGTTGAATTTAAATTCCGAGATCTGCATCGTCTCAAAAGCTCACATTTTTAAAGAGAAAAATGAGCATAGGCGGGCAAGATTCTCGAGTGTGTACATTGAATAGAGAATAGGGAATTCAATCAAAGATATAGAATTGTCAGAATTTAAGAGAGAATCGACGCGTAAAAGGGAAAAGTTCGGAAAATTAAAATAAGGAAATTGATTTAAAATGTTTTTCGTGTCACAGTTAAGTTTTTTTTAAAACCGGTTTTAGAAAAATTGCCAAAATCTAGATGAATCAATTTTAATCAAAATTGCAAATAAATTTATCAAAAAATTTGAAATTTAGTCATTTCTGTGACAAAAAAAAAGATGAAAAGGGATAAGTTTTTGCAAAAATAAGATGGGAATGAAATCGATGAACGAATGAAAAAAAAGAGAGAGAAAGGGCGTGAAATCGAATTTCGTCGTTGCGCCGATCTTTCTGCCTTTAGGGAAAAGACTTCTTTTTGTGAATGAAATGATTAAATGAATGAAAGGGAAGGGAAATGAAAGGGAGATCGATGTTCTTCATGATTTATTGGGGATCACAAAAGGGAAGTGAAATCAGTGGAATGATTCAAAGAGATCGATCCAGTTGCGAGCGATTGGAACCGTTCCAGCACTTGCAAGCAATCTGTGGGGATTCGAAACAACAAGAATCAATTGTTAAGTTCTATTTCGTTCATAGTCAGAAGAGCAGAAGAGCAGAAGATCAGAAGAAGATTTTCTAGTAATGAAAAGGATATCAAGCCAGTTTGTGATTACAAATAGTCCAAAACTCATCAAAACCAAAACAAAATCGAATTTCATCTTTGCGCCGATCTTTCTGCCTTTAGGGAAAAGACTTCTTTTTGTGAATGAAATGATTAAATGAATGAAAAGGAAGGGAAATGAAAGGGACATCCATGTTCTTCATGATTCATTGCGGATCACAAAAGGGAAGTGAAATGATTCGAAGAGATCGATCCAGTTGCGAGCGATTGAAACCGTTCCAGCACTTGCAAGCAATCGGTGGGGATTCGAAACAACAAGAATCAAGTATTAAGTTCTATATCATCAGAAGATCAGAAGAAGAGGATTTTCTATTAATAAAAAGTATATCAAGCCAGTTTGTGATTACAAATAGTCGAAAACAGATAAACAAATCAGAAAGGAAACCTCATAAAAATCATCAAGCTTTTTAAATAAAAAAAACTAAATTTCTATTCCAAAGTTAGTAAAGTCCATAAAATTATTAAAAGATTTCAAAAAATTGAACTTCTTTATTTTGAAAGTAAAGATTCAAAAAAAAGATTAAGTAAATAAGCGAATTCTTGCAGAAAAACATTGATTTTGGCATTTTTTTTGAATGGATTTGACAGGTTTTCTTTTCAAAATCTTTAAAAGAAAAGTTCTGAATGAAAAAGAAAAAAAAGAAAAGAAAAAGAAAAGAAAAAGAAAATTTTGATGATATTTGGAGCTCAGGTGATTTTTAAGACCAGATGATTTATGAGAAAAAGGGGGAAAAAAGAGCTTTTAGGGGAATAACTGAATACTTTTTAGTCATATATTGGAAGGAAAGACAGGAAATGAGGAATTGAATGCGTTAGAAAGAGTGCATTTAGATTTGTTGCACAAAGATTGCACAAAGTATAAGGTTGATGCATAAGTGTTTTCGTTCCTTTTCGTCTGCCGTTTCAAGCCAACAAATGCACCAATTAAACTACGGTTGATTACATTTAGTTGAATACATTAGCAAATTACATTTAGTGGGGGCGGATTTTTGAATGAAAAACGTTATTGGAAAGAGTTCTATGGCATTTTAGATATGTTATGAATAGCTTTAGATAAGTTATCATTATTATTATTATATTAGGTTGATGAAAAAGTCTTTTTCATTTTTTTCGTCTGCCGTTTCAAGCCAACTAATGCACCAATTAAACTACGGTTGATTTCATTAGAAAAACCAATTATTTTTCTGCAAAATAACATTAAAACGGGTTTAAAAATATTTAATGCCTGGATTTTCTTGAGAGTATGAAGTCGGGTAGTCAAAAAGGGCTAACTCGATGATGCGGTTTAGACACCTTAGCTAAAGAAAACCTATCTTCGTGTCAATAGATAAAAGATAGAGAAAAAAGAGTTTGATATTTCGCCAAAATTTCAGAGAAATTCATTCAGCCAATTTTTCCGTAGAGTTTTTTATAGATTTTTACGAAAAAGGCGTTTTTCACTCTCGAATTTGCTTGAAAGGAACCGAAATTCATTTAAAAGGCAAATTGAACAAAAAACACTTTTTTATAGAGCAAACTATAGATTAATTGGTGAATTTGTTACTTTTTAACAGAAGTACGAAAAAAATGAAAAAGACTTATGCATCAACCTAATACATTCTAGAGATCGTTCTAGCTGAGAAAGCTGAGAAAACTGGCGAATTCCGAGCTTTTTCAACAAAATCTTTGAATTTATATAAAATGCTCAAAATTGCGAACAAAAATGAAGTCAGAGATTGTATTTAAATCTCTGGAGAATGAGAATTATGGAAAACATTTGAGTAAATATGAAATATGGGGGCGGTGAAATGAGAGAAATCCCTCAGGAAATCAATGAACAATCGGAAGAGACAGAAAACAGGGAAACTCCTAAAGAAGTCAATAATAACATTCATTTAGAATTCAGAAAACGTTAGCCAGTAGAATTTGATTCACGTTTGTGGCTGCTTTTCTACCGGCCAGGGCAATAGAAAACCAGTTTTGATGAGTTCTTGAAGTCAAAGTGATGAAATAGCATAAATCGTGCTCTGAATCTGAATCTTTTATGCTAGAAAGGCGTGCTCTTAAGAGTACAAAGTATGAATGAGTTTTAAAAAATGGTTTTTTTTGGCTGATGGAGATGGAGATTTAAAAGAGGCCAGCTTTTCTACAGGCCAGGGCAATAGATTCTAATATGCCAGATGGAAAGGATTCTAATAATCTCAAATTTAGCTTCACTTTTCACTGATTGTTTTGGGGATAAAGAGAAAATGGAATGGACAGATTCATTCAAAAGATTGATGTTTTGAAGAAGACGAAAAAGTGAATTGGGAATTGAGATTGGTGATTTCATTTGGGAGAATGGGCGGGCGGTGACCCAAGAGTGGAAAAGAGGAGGAAATTGAATCGACTTTACGCAAGGATCGCTCTTTTGTTTATCGTCTTGGACATCAGGAATTCTATTCGTCACTTATTTTGACAAGAATTCAAGAAGCAAAGAACCAAAAACTGCACTTGATAATTGATCTTTATCAAGATTACAATTGGATAAAGATGAATCTAGTGATCATAGAGCAAATAATCTAGAGCAAACGCTCACTCTGAATCACTTCTTTCATTGATCAATATCAATAAAATCAAACGCTAAATTGTTCCAATTCATCTCTGTAAGAATTTCTCGAATTCGATTCAGAATTTGATTCAGAATTCGATTCAGAATTCTCGATTACTCTTTTAAAGTAGCTTTAAAATAACTTTAAACATTTCTAAACCTAAAAGCTTATTGAATTTAAATTTTTAAATTTAAAAATTTGACAAGCTTAATGTTCAATAATATGTAAAAGTTTTAAACAAAGAAAAACAAAACAAAACAAAAAAGAAATTTCCCATTAACATGAAAAGATTAAATGTCTAAAGCTAAAATGAATCATTTAAAACTTTAGTTTAAAAAAAACCGCAATTTAAAGGATTTTGGAATGAAGCCAACTGAATGTAAAGTATGAAATGCTGAAAGGAAAACGGGAAACGAATCGAAGATGATGATGAAGATGAAAAATCTAGTAATATAGAATGGTTTGATGGGGGTAAAACGAAGAGAACAAAGCACACATATACACAAATCTTTTGGAAGGAAAGAGAAGGGGGAGATGATCCGTTCTTTCTCTCTTTTTTGATCACCCTTTCGAATGGCCGAGAGTCGATCTATTCGCCCCTTTCTTTCCCCTTTTTCTTTTCTCTCTTTTTCTCTTCTTTTCCCCATTCACTCAAACCAACCATCCGTTGTCCATCCATTGACACTGAATGAGTGAAAAGGAAGAAGAGAAACAGAGAGGGGAAGCATGCAGAGGGAAGGAGTACGGTAGATGGAGCAAAGAGTAGAAGGGACTTGTTTTTTCGTTGATTTTTATAGAATCTATGAATCTTATTAATATTGGGTTGGGGACTATGACTCGGCGGACAAAAGAAAGGCAAATTTATTGAACATTTCACAAGCAAATCATTCAAGGTCTTCTCCATTATTTTGCACGATTTGGGCCCATTTTACAGGCAATTTGCGGATTCCTCTTTCGTAGTAGGATTTTGGTTTGTGTGTGAGACGAGTGTGAGACTCAAAAATAGAGGACTGGAGATGTCCCAGTTCTCACACTTTCTTCAAAAGAAACCCATTTTGGTGTCAATAGAAAAGTTGTAGAGAATCAAAAATTAGGCTTATAGCCAAATTTTCAGAACGACTCAAAATCTGGTTTTCAAGAAATGCCAAATTTACGAATTTTCACAAAGCTTGCATTTTAGAGGAATCTGCCAATTGCCTGTAAAATGGGCAGAAGTCGTCAATAATAATGGAAATTATTTGGAATGAATTCATGGTTTTATGTTGAATAAATTTGCCTTTCTTTTGTCCGCCGAGTCATAGTCCCCAACCCAATATTTCCGATAATCAACCAGCGCCCGGTGGTGGCGGAGGAGCGCCGGGGCCCATCGGTTGAGAGGTGATCACTGGAGCGCCGGAGACAAATGTGCTCGTCTGAATTGAGGGGAATTATTGGAAAGGTTATTCAAAAGTAGATTTGATGATTATTGATGATTTCAAAGGTTATTCATGGTTAATTTCAACTATTTTTACCGTAAAGAATAGGCCAAGGCCGTCAGGCGTCTTCTCCTTCAGCGAGTTTGACAACTTTTGAAACTGAAAACACTAGGCGAAAACACTCTATAAATGAATGTTGTATTAGAATGACATCTCATTCATTCAATCAATCAGTCAATCAATCAATCATTCATTCATCATTTAGAAGATCTAAAAGATTCTAGAAAAGAATCAAACACAAAATTACCAATCAAGTCGTATGCCGGATTGTCAAAACAATCCAGATTTTTGATGTAACATTTATGTTTTCTTCACTGAATCACTGATTATTGTCCCCAACTTCTCTAGCTTTATTCATGAATGGAATGGATTTAAAGGTCATGGAAATTTTGGAATTTCATTTGAAATTCACAATGAGATCTGATTGAAAAGTTTTCCGAGTTGAATTCATAAAATGAATACTAGTAAAGTAACTGATCACTGTTCACGAATTCTATAGCTCTATTGCTGAATTATTCTTGGTTCGATTGAGCTTTGAAAATTGACCGAAAAACAGAAGGATTTGTTGGTCGTTTTTGTAAAAAAATCGTATTTATTTTACTGAAACCAGACTGATAAATATAAAAACAAGAATGAAAACAAAAACATTTTGTCATTTTAAAGCAATCAGACTGTTCCATTCGCTTTGTTCAACGAGTCTTCAAGTGCTCGAAATTTAACAACGTTAACATTTCATGATTTTACCTTGATTCGGATTTCCTTTACTTTCGGGATTTGCTCGATCAATTCGGGAAGTTCACAGAGGAATTCTGAAAGAAAATTTTCTACATGGGTTTTTCTTGAGAAATTGATCGTGAGTAATTTTCATATTTAACTTTTCACACTGAATTATGTACGAATTTTCTCCTCTACCTCGTAGCCAATTATTTCTCATTTCCATTGATTTTGGATAAGAATAAGAATCGTTACAAATTGAACATTCCATCCAAAACCATTCAGGAGAAGAATCAGCTTTCTGATGCGTTAAATAAGATTCTGTGCAAATTGGGTGGTTACAAAACAGAATAACGGGTTTGCTTTCCTCTTTCTCCATCGAGTCTTAATACAATTTTTGGATTAATCTCTATCTTCTCACATTTAACATCACATTTCGAACATTTGAGTGGAATGGTGATTGGCTATTGTGATTGGCTATATTAGATGTATATGGTCGTAGAAACAAAATGTTAGTAAACAGCAAACATCGAGTCTAAGGACAGTTCTTTTGAAAACTGAGTCTAAATCGGACATAACATATAAAAACAAGAACGAAAACATTTTGTCATTTTAAAGCAATCAGACTGTTCCATTCGCTTTGTTCAACGAGTCTTCAAGTGCTCGAAATTTCTCCTCCAATTCTTTATCCATTTTTGCGAATTTCTCCCGATATGAATCAACAATTGACTAAAATTGAGTCATTAAATGAAATGGTTAACATTTCATGATTTTACCTTGATTCGGATTTCCTTTACTTTCGGTATTTGCTCGATCAATTCGGGGAGTTCACGACGAAATTCTAAAAGAAAACTTTCCACATGAGTTTTCCTTCAGAAATTGATCGTGAGTAATTTTCGTATTTAACTTTTCACACTGCATTATGTACGAATTTTCTCCTTTACCTCGTAGCCAAGTATCTTTCCTTTCGATTGAAGAGGATTTTAGATCATAATGGGAAGCGTCACAAATTGAACATTTCATCAAACACCATCCAGGAATAGAATGAGCTGTCCGATGTGTTAAATAACATTTTGTACAAATTGCGTGTTGACAATTCAGAATAAAGGCTTTGCTTTCATCTTTCTCCATCGAGTCTTAATACAATTTTTGGATTAATCCCCATTTTCTCACATTTCACATCACATTTCGGACATTTGAGTGGATTGGTGATTGGCTGAAAATTTTACTGAACTTGGTTAATAAAAAAATTGCTTCTTAACCTCCGAAAGAAGCCATCCATTTCCATTCGGAGATTCGATAATTGACGGATCGTTGAAAAGATCTAAAATCATTCTAATGAGAATTCGTCAACGGCAGATTTTGTAATTATTACCGAGTAAGAAGCTGGGGAATTTACTAGTAAAATAACAAGCCCATTGAAGGTCACATTGATGTTTTCTTTCTTGATCTTTCAATGGTTCCTCCTTTTGCCAACATTCCTTACAAATCGCTTTTCCACACAATAATTGACACGGATATTTGGGATCATTACTCGATCTCGAATCTGAAAACCATGATTTGATTGAAATACAAGAAAAAGTGATAATTAGTATGACTGATCTCAGATATTACAACTCATCATTTTCAGCAAAATTCAACAAGAAAATTTTGAAACTTTCTAAAATCCCCTTTTCTTCTTGTAATTCATAAAACTCACACGGAGCTTTGCATAGAGAACAGTTCAATGAGTGGAAAATCTTCAGTTCCGAGCTCATCTTTCTAAAAATCGGCAAATAAAGAAAAGAAGTCGATTTGAAAAGCGAAAATGAGTGAAAATGGAGTCAAATTTGGTGATAAGACGTAGTGGAAATGGATTGCAAAAGAAAATTCAAAAATTTGGGAAAAAGTTTATGCTTTGCAAGAATTATTATTTAAATTGCCAAAAAGATAAGGTTTTTTTTCTCACATATTTATTCTAAAAGTTACATCGAATTATAGGATTAAATCCAGATTATTCTCAATCAAACTCCATTTATCCGTTCCATTAAAACTGATTGGCCTCAGAATTTTTGGCTGCTCTTGTCTGCTCTGTTTACATACATATTTTCATTTTCGTTGTTCCTTCTCGGTCAAAACATTCATTGCAAACAAACGCAGACGCGGGAATGGTAGTTTTTGGTAGAAGCAGGTGAAAAGAATAGCAAAGAAACTGATGAAACTTGGAAATGGCCGATGATCAAAATAAGATGACTCTGATCAGTGACTCTGACTCTTAATCAAAGCTGATCAACACTATTCCCGAATTCTCTAGCTATATTTCCACTACTCGATGATAGCGAAAAATTAGGAAAGACCGCGGAGTAGACTTTGTCAAAATGTCGTCTGCGGTCATTTTGAGACTAAAATCGTATTAATCGGTCAACTTCAGTCCGTTTTTCTTCTTTTTTGAGCTTACTTTATCAATTTCATGTCATAATAATTGTTTCTTTTTTCAGATACCCAAGAATGAGTCTCCGTTTGGAAAAGGAGGCAATTTTACAATTAACTGAGGGTCTTAACAGAGAAAAGAGTAAATCCTACAAAGCTGAAGATTTGGACGGGCCAAAGTTGAAGAAATTATGTGCGAATATAAACGCATTTTGACCGATTGTTAGTTGACTTGCCTACAAAAAGTTATGTGATTACAAAAAGTCGGACAAGGAAATCCAAGTAATACTGGCTACAGACAACTTACTTAACGCTATGGAACTAAACAGTATTGGAATAAAAACTGCCAAAGCCCACGTAGCAATTGCAGAAGTTCCCGTTTTTACGCTAGGGTCTATGTCAGATGATAGTTTCGAATGTCTTCATTCTCTCCGCAATCAGCTATGTAACAGGATTAAACGCGCGGATGATCATAATTTTTAAAAAACATACCTTTAATTTTTTCGCAATATTTATTTAGTATTGCCATTTGCGTTTTTTTGCAAAATATGCTTTTTACTTTTTTTATTTCTTTGCTTTATGGGAACGTTTGTACTGAAGACATCTTTACTGGAGCTTTAAGCTGCTCACACACAACCGAAAGAACTTGAAATCAGTCATATTAATTATCACTTTCTCTTTTATTTGAATCAAATCACAGTTTTCAGATTCGAAATCGAGTAATCCCAAATATCTGTGTCAATTGTGGTGTGGAAAAGCGATTTGTGGAGAATGTTGGGAAAAGGAGAAACGAATGAAAAAAGAAGGAAGTAAACATCCATGTGACTTTCATTTGATTTGTTATGTTAACAAGTCCCCCATCTTCTTACGCGGTAATAATTAACGAAATGTTTTTGTTTTCATTCTTGTTTTTATATTTATCATTTTTGGTTTCAGTTTACCATGCTTTTCATTTTAAACTGTAAAACAGAAAAGAAATAATGTCCCTTGAGAAGGACGAAGAGAAAATTGTTGTTGACCGATTCACATTGATTTCAAGTGAGCCTAATTGTTAAAGATTAATGAATAAAGTTTAATATAACTAACTTTTATATTAAACTCGATTCTTGGCGCACCAGAAAGAGACGTCTGGCCGATTTTCGGTCAACAGCCTCGATTTATGAGACGAACAGTAATTCCAACTTCAACTTCAACTTTAGATCATTAGTAGATGCTTTTTCAAGACTTGATTGACTTCATTAGAAAAAAAATCAAAATTTTAAGGGTTTGTATAGCGAAATAAGATTGTTCTATGGCAAATATAATGTACCAGTGCCAACAGCACGAATGCCAACTGCACCACCAACGGCATCACCAGTCAATGTGCCATCTAAAGTGCCAGTGCTAATAACAATGACAAGCCTGCAAAAACAATGTTAATGTCCCTTCCATTATTGGGCCAATCTGGGCAACCCACATCGTTTCCCGAAGAAGCTGCGGAAAGACGCAATCAATCGAAACTCCGGCCTCATTCCCGTGCTCGCAAACTTTCCTTCAACTCACGCTTTCTTATATTTCCCACTAATATCAACCCTGCTACTCAGTAGTGCTATCAAAATTTCATTGTCATTTTAGATTGACAATTGATGGATTATTTATAAAATCTGAAAAGATGCTAATGGAGCAAATTTTATTAATATTTCCCAGCAATATCTATCCTGCTACTCAATAAAAAGTCTTTTTACTTTTAAAAAGCTTAATATCTCGTATTTTAATGATTTTCAACCTCTTCGTCCAATTCTTTGGTTGTTTTAGCTGGACAGGGTTGTCCAGGATTACGGAGACTAGGGGTATCTTTGATATTGCATGTTTTTGCTTACAACCTATATATTGTTTTTACCTTCCTTTTTGTTTATTTTATTTATTTAACTATTTACCCACTATTTTTTTCTCAAAAAAATGTCTCTCTTTAGAATAGCCAAGCAGTCAGTGTACTAAGATGCGATCATCGACCTACACAAGTGTGGCGTTTTGGTCATGGATATCTCTAGGCAATTGATGATATGCAAAACACTTGTTTACAGCGCGATCATCAAACGCTTTCAAGAGTTAGAAACAAATTCTGAGCGACGGTTGTCACCAAGGCAAATATCAAGAAGGTTCGAGATCAGCTACGCTTAAAAGCCACTCGTTCGCAGGGCAGGATGGCAAAGAATATGGGAATTTCTCGAACTTCTATGGGCCGTATTGTCAAAAACCGTCAAAGTTTTGCAAAAGCCAATCTTCAGCCAGCAAAAAGAAACGCGAGGATCGTTCGAAAAAACTTTTACTCGGCTTCAATGGTATCGATGATCGGTATCGATTTTAACTAGTGGCCACTCAATCAGTACATGACCGAGATCTGTACAGTTCTTTAGTCCCGGACAGCCATTTACATCTTGTTTCATCTTGCGATCAAATATAGCAATTGAGCTATCCTTTATTCAATTTTTCAAAGATAGATTTATAACTGTACACAAAATCACGCAAATTTTACCGGTATAACAGTCAGAGAAAGAGATTTTTGAAGAATTACAATGCTTCTTTGAGGTTTATTTGCAGAAATAGGCTTATTTTCCTCCGAATCCACCGTTTTGACCGTTGTTGGAAGATTTGCCTTGTTGGCCACCGAATCCACCTGAAATCCCAGAATTTCAAATAATATTTAGTCATAATATTATTTAGAATTAGTTTGAAGCTGATTTTTAGTCATTTTTATAGCAAACCTTGTCCTCCGAATCCACCATTTTGCCCGTTTTGCCCGTTTTGTCCACCGAATCCGCCTGAAATTTCAAAAATATAATTAGAATCGTTTTTGTATTCAAATTTAGAGATTTATATGCAAACCTTGAATCACTTTATTATTATCTACCTTGTCCTCCGAATCCATTCTGTCCATTTTGGCCGTTTTGTCCTCCAAATTGTCCTTGTCCACCAAATCCACCTGTAATATTCACTTTATAGGATTCATTATCTACAGTAATCGTTAGTATTAATGGAGTTACTGTGTAGAAATTGGTTTTACTGCAAAATACGGTAGAGCAAGTGGAAAGCACTTTTTTCAGCGAGGATGGAGTGATTTGAGTTTGAAATATGTATTATTGGTTATTGGAATACAGTACTATTCAATTTTCAATTCTAATTCAAATAAAAATACTGTATACTAATCTATTGTTAAAGTTTTATCAAAAAGACGAACCCTGGCCTTGCCCACCGAATCCGTTTTGGCCGTTTTGGCCGTTTTGTCCGTTTTGCCCGCCGAATTGTCCTTGTCCACCGAATCCACCTGTAATATCGAAATTTTATATGATATTTAGTTATAGTTTTAGATAACATAACAATTTGAAGTAATTCTTAGGATTTCCGATTGAACAAACCTTGTCCTTGTCCTCCGAATCCCCCGAATCCTCCAAATCCACCCTGTTGTCCTCCCTGTCCACCGAATCCACCTGAAATTGTTAAAAATGAATAAAAGATATCATATATATATGTAGATTTAACATTTTATGCACATTTCTTACTTGGATAAGTGTATTAATATTTCTATCAACCTTGTCCTTGTCCTCCAAATCCACCCTGTCCTTGTCCATTTCCGTTTCCACCAAAACTTCCTGGAAAAAAACTACCATTTAAAGATAATTTGCTTTTATTTTTATTATATGAACTCAAAATCTATATAGTAATGAAATTTTATGCAATTTCCACTCACCCTGTCCGAGTCCACCGTTGAATCCGCCCTCGAAACCATCATCTCCATCGTCTTGGCTACTGTTACTGTCTAGAAAAGATTAGATATATAAATTCATATGTAAATCTAGATTATATATATCTATATGTTGACTAACCAGTTCCATTCCCTCTCGGCCATGGGCTGAAATATTGATTGATATAAAATTTATGGTTCTTCTTAAGACATTAATTCTACTTTGCAATCAGCTTTACAATGAGACTCATCCAATCAATATTCCAAAACTGAAACCCACAAAGCAGCAAGAACAGCGAAAAGAGCTGAGGCAATGAGCAGCGTCTTCATTTTTAGATTACTGTAGAAAAAGAATGAAATTTAAAAACAAAAAACTAGTTTCTGGATGTCATTCTAGCAAGTGACCCCTTTAAATACAAAATTTTCCCCCAAAAGTTGTTGATGTGGATGAGTGGACTGATCTCTATTTGCATATTTGTCCTTTTCAAGGGATTTGAATATTTTCCCAAATTTCTTTCACGGATTCGTTATTTGGCAACAGCTACCCACACAGTGAGTCAGAAATTTTTCAATTTTTTTCCCGATTTCCCAACTTTTCCCCTATATTTTGTTTTCAGAGCTATTTTTGTCTATCGTAGATTGTTGATGAACCGATGTTGATGAACCATTATCCCAAGTATACCGCTCAGAAAGATACCTTGAGACAATTTTTAATGGTTTGAAGCAGAGGTAAAAATTTGTTTGCTTTTCAGAGCGATTTTTGTCTATCTTTTGATTCTTCGAATCAATTTTAAACGGTGTCTTTTTGAAAAGAGCGCAAAAAAATGATCTTAGAAAAGTGTTTTTCGGGATTTTTTAACGGTTCTTCCTAGATAAACAACGCTGAAATGGAAATCCCTGCCTTAAGAAATCATGTAGCTCTTGGTTTACCCACCAAATCCGTTAGACGTTTCTCAGACTGTTTTTTTGTGTTAATTAACCTTTTTTAAGTGATTTTATCACTTTAGGTAAGATCTAGCAAGTTATACTTTTGAATCAATCTTCAATTTTAGCATCAAGGCTTAAAACTGCAATATCATTTGCGTTTTTGCAAGACTAATGGAAAGCAGCTGTTAAATGGTCGTCTCTTTGTGAAATACTTTATGACCTAAAATTCCTTTGGTACCCAATAGCGGATGAGAAAGCTGATGGAGTGAGAGTCTTGAGTGAGAAACAAAGCTTTTTTATTTTACCATTTTATACGATCGACCTCATATTGTAAATCTTGAAAAATTTGCTTGATCAAAGTCAAACTCAATACCAGTAAAAAAAAAAAAAAAAAAAAAAAAAAAAAAAAAAAAAAAAAAAAAAAAAAAAAAAAAAAAAAAAAAAAAAAAAAAAAAAAAAAAAAAAAAAAAAAAAAAAAAAAAAAAAAAAAAAAAAAAAAAAAAAAAAAAAAAAAAAAAAAAAAAAAAAAAAAAAAAAAAAAAAAAAAAAAAAAAAAAAAAAAAAAAAAAAAAAAAAAAAAAAAAAAAAAAAAAAAAAAAAAAAAAAAAAAAAAAAAAAAAAAAAAAAAAAAAAAAAAAAAAAAAAAAAAAAAAAAAAAAAAAAAAAAAAAAAAAAAAAAAAAAAAAAAAAAAAAAAAAAAAAAAAAAAAAAAAAAAAAAAAAAAAAAAAAAAAAAAAAAAAAAAAAAAAAAAAAAAAAAAAAAAAAAAAAAAAAAAAAAAAAAAAAAAAAAAAAAAAAAAAAAAAAAAAAAAAAAAAAAAAAAAAAAAAAAAAAAAAAAAAAAAAAAAAAAAAAAAAAAAAAAAAAAAAAAAAAAAAAAAAAAAAAAAAAAAAAAAAAAAAAAAAAAAAAAAAAAAAAAAAAAAAAAAAAAAAAAAAAAAAAAAAAAAAAAAAAAAAAAAAAAAAAAAAAAAAAAAAAAAAAAAAAAAAAAAAAAAAAAAAAAAAAAAAAAAAAAAAAAAAAAAAAAAAAAAAAAAAAAAAAAAAAAAAAAAAAAAAAAAAAAAAAAAAAAAAAAAAAAAAAAAAAAAAAAAAAAAAAAAAAAAAAAAAAAAAAAAAAAAAAAAAAAAAAAAAAAAAAAAAAAAAATGCATTTACAGAAATTTAGATAGAGCGTAAGTTCTAAACCCTCAAAATTGTCAAAAAACCAGCTTTTCCACAAAAAAGAAAAATTATTGTAAAATCAAAGTTTTCCCATGAAATGATCCCAACTTTTAATTATTTTGAATGATATTTTAGGGCACTCATTTTCCACTATATAGTCAAAACCTGGTGAAAGTGGGGTTTTCAAGAAGTGGCCATTTTTGGTCACTCGCATTTCGCCCTCGAAATTTCTTGAATGGTTCGATCAATTGAAACACGTTTTAGCCTATTTTGTAGAGGAGATTTACAACTTTCAAATAGTTTATAACATTCATCGATATCAGGTTTCTATCGTTGGAAATTTATGAAAATGTTGAAATCCACGTTTCTTATGCATGTACCTAATATATATTGTAGCCGTTTGAAAAACATTCGTAATCAGTTAGCCATTTACAAATGGAATGTTTAAGTGCAAATTTTTCTAATAAAATCATAATTTTCGATTCATTTCTTTGATTCTTTGATTTTATTCAGCTTTTTTCAGGATCGAACCTTTTCTCAATCAACTCGATCAAGTCTTGAAGAAGCAAACGTATCTCCTAATGATCTAAAGTTGAAGTGGAAGTTGGAATGACTGTTCGTCTCCTAAATCGATGTTGTTGACCGAAAATCGGCTAGTCGTCTCTTTCTGGTGTCGGCCTTTGGAGGTTTATATCAGATTAGCACCAAGAATCGAGTTTTACAGTAAAAGTTAGCTATATTAGGCTTTATTCATTAATCTTTAACAATCAGGCTCAGTTGAAAGCATTTTAAACCAGTCAAGAACAATTTTCTCTTCATCCTTCTCAAGAGTTCAGGGATCAAGGCTGAATCTCTTTAAATGTCTTCAGTTTAAGAAAGATATTAGCTTTAGCTAAATACTTTGTATTTCCCAAATGATCTGTTTTCTAAAACGTGTCACTTTCTCGACTACCGTAATTTTGGCTTGTCGAAAAAGATTTTAACAATAGCGAACATCTTTCAAAATCATCAATTAAAAACTAAAAGTATTTCATCTTAATTCTTCTATCCCGGCATACTGTAGTAAAGCGGAAAAAGAAGCGACTCGTATGCACCAAGTAAGAAAGCGTTTACAAACAAAGCGTTTACACGAAAGTCACCTAAGAAAATTTCCGATAATCTAAAAAGAATTACTGTAGCATAATGGTTTTAAGTTCACAGAAATTGCACCGTGAAAAAATAATGACATGGAGGCGGATGAAGAACTATTTTAATGTCTAAACAATTATAAAGCAAGAAAAAAAGTGAATCAAGAATCAAGAAGCGAACGAAGGAAATACAAATGGACAAGGCAGATAATTTGATATTGGGATTACTAGACTGGTTTCTTTCCTTTTTCTAAAATGTGGCACAAACTACCGTAAATTTTGTCTCTAGTTTTCATCCGTTCTATCCACGTTTGGTCGATCCTGTGCTTTTTTCACAAGGGTATCGAAAGATACAAAAAGTGATTGGATTAGATAAAAACTAGAGCCAGGACTACGGTAGTTTTTGACACGTTTTAGTGAACCAATTATTCGGACCGGTGCCACCAAGTAATCGTTCAGCAAGCAATCGTATTAAACAGCAAGGCTATCAAAGAGAGTGCCAACTTTGAAAAGTATCTACCGTAAATATTCTAATAGAAGAGTCCCTTATAGGAGCGTCGCGTAGTCGAAGTTTAGACTTTAAGAACGGTGTGCAGGCACAAATGTCTGCGCGTCGGAGATATGAGTGTGAGTGTTCTTTGAGTCTCAACTTCGACTACGCGACGCTCCTATAGAGAGCTCTTCTATTAGAATACTTACGGTATGTAGTGGCAATATTATACACGACTTATCCACTGATCCGCATCCTCGTCATCACCGATCGTCACATAGGTGAAATGATTGGCCGAATGGGTGACACCCGGTGGCTCAGCGGAAGGCAATTGGGGTATCCTAAATGAAAAATGTGAAAAATTCAAAATTACCGTATTATTAAGTACTACCGTAGTTCAAATCTGGTCTACCACTTTCCTTTAGCCTAAACCTTTTTGCCATCTAGCATACTTAATTACTTTTAAGGGGTTTTAAGGGTGCTCGGCCTCCGTAAATCCAATAGCTGCAGTACACTTTATTACTAGCTGCAATTCAATGCTCAACTGCACTAAAGCTATTTTAAGCTACAAGCTTTATTTAGCTCAAATGTCATACCTTTTCGGTGTTTTCACTTGCGCATCGGCAGTCGGCGACCCATCATTGTCCCCACCGCGTACCACAAACACCTAAAGAATCTGTATGGTGGTTTTTATCTAGCTATTGTATATCATGATAAGATTTCAAGTTGTGTTTACCATTTTGCCCGAGTGTTCATCCCGAATTCCCACCGTTCGTACCGGTGAGCTCTGCTCACCATCGGGCGTCCGATTTTGCACATTGTCATAGGCACTGTTTCTGATCATCGAGTCGTTTGATCTGAAAATAGGTTTTAGATCTATCGTATTCTCTGCTCTTATCGGTCATTTAAAGACGGCTCAAAGACTTGAGAATTAATAGCGCCAAATGTGGGGAGTGTTGGAATTTTTTGGGGTTGCCTTGGTCCAACTTTATTGGGAAGGAAATTTTTTTTTTCTTCAGAAGGTGCACAGCCTAGAGGTAGGATACGATAGGGTAGGCTAGCCTGAGCCAGATCATCGGGTGGGTATGGATAAGTTTGATTAGCTAGATCCCTTTTGTATTACCCTAAATCTACAAACTGCAGGATGAAATATGGTGTGCTAAAATATCATATGCCAGATCTGCTTGACGTCACGAATTTCAATTATCTATCACGCATTACCTTGAGACCGCCTCCGGGTTCCCCCTCGTTCGCAACGAATTCGACGAAACTTGGCTGAATCGGATTTTTGAAGTTGCAGTTTTCTCGTCTACCTTGGCGGGAGTCTCCCCTGTGAATGTGCTTTCATTTGTTCTCTCCCCGCTAATCCCATCGGTCGAACCGCTCGAGTATTCGAGGTTGACGTGGAAAAGGCGGAATTGGACTCTCTCAATGAGCCACGGGACGGAATCTGAAATAACATGCCCAAATTGATAGCTGGTTTTTCACCTGGAAAGGCACTTGGTGATTCGAAATGGCTGTCTCGTTTATCGGACTAGGCCCTGTATTAAGATCTGAATTTCGTGATTGTTGTTAGTTCAATTATTGTTGTTACCTTTATTTAACGGAGTTGCGGGTGATTGATG